TACTGTTTCCCCTGTGTATGTTACTTTTTGTTTTTCTCAAGCTGCTCCCAGGATTCTTTCTTTGACTTTGGTTTTAGCAAGTGTGATTATGATATGCCTTGGTGATTTTCTTTTGGGTCTTGTCCTATATGGGGTTTGTTGAGCTTCTTGGTTGGTCAGCTTTTCATCTTTCATGATATTCAGGAAGTTTTCTGTAAGCAATTCTTCAATGATCTTCTCTGTGTTTTCTGTTTTCTCCCCCTGTTCTGGAACTCTGATCAGTCAAAAATTTTTGCTTTTGATTGTATCCCACATAATTATCAGGGTTTCTTCATTTTTCTTTGTTCTTTTTTCTGATATTTCCTCAGAGTTGTATCCAAGTGTTTGTCTTCAATTTCACTGATCTGTCTTCCATTGTTTTAAACTGTTCCTCAGCCCTTGTATGACACTGTCCATTTCTGAAATCTTGCTGTTTATCTTTTGGATTTCTAATTGTTGTTTTTGCATGATTTATAGTTGTGAATTTATTTTGGCATTTTGTTCCTGTATTATTTTCCTGAATTCTTTCATGTTTTGTCTATATTTTCCATAAATTTGTCTGCTTTTCCATGAATTTGTCTATTTTTTCCTCATTTTTGTCTGTTTTTGCTTGAACTCTTGGATAGCTCTGAATATTAGAGATTTGAATTCCCTATCAGGTAGTTCTAGTGCCTTTTCTTCTACTGGAAAGTCATCCGGTGTTTCATTTTGGACGTCTACTGGAACCATCCTGTCCTGTTTTTCATATGTTCTGAGATTGTCTGCTGTCTTTGAGACATTCAGTAGTTATTTTCTACATTTATTGATTGTAGATTTGTTTGTTTCATCCTGCTTTTTTGTTTCATTTGGTTATGTCTGAGCAGGCAGGCTGTGTATTCTTTGTTGTTTGCTCATCTGTGGACACGATATTTTTCATCTCCTTACCCAATGTGTGGGGTCAGTTGCTCAGCTATTTTGCAGCAGAGCAGGTCCAGCTGAAGGGGAGGGGCTGGAATGGGTTGTTTGTGGCAGGTACTGGGGCTGACAGGGTCAGCCAGTGGTTAGTGCAGGGCAGGTTCCAGTAGTCATGCCTATGCTGCTCGGGAGTGCAAAGTTCAGCACATGGTGCAGATAGGAAGGAGGTAGGGGGAGGAGGAATTTGTGATGTGTGGAGCTAGACTGGGTATGGAAAAGAAGAGAGAAACTGAGAAATGAAGAAAAACAAAAGAGAGATGAATATAAAAAAGAATTAAAACCTTTTTAAAAAATGCCCCAAGGGAATCCCACTGGTGCAGCTGCACAGACTGGAGAAGTGCCTCCCAAGCCATGCAGTACAGCCTGACTAGAAGGTGTGGAGATGATACACAGCACCAGGTATTCAGGAGACAGGAACAGAAGGTAAGTAGAAAGAGACAAGAAACTGAGACAGGAAAAAAAATAAAAAGGAAAAAACAAAGAAATAAACAAACAAAAAGAAAAAAAATATCCCCCAGGGATCCCACCAGCGTGGCTGTGTGGACCAGGGAAGCAGTTCCCCAGCTGAGCGGAGCTTCACAGCCTGTCAAGAAGAAGCAAAGATGGCACATGGAGTCAGGTGTTTGAGAGAAAGAAGGGGGAGGAGGTGAGAGGAAGGGAAGAAACCAAAAGAGGCCAAAAAAAAAAAGCAACACCATCAACAAAGAAATGGCAGTGAAGAAGCTGGTTGGTGTGGGTGGGGAGAATCCGTGTGGCACGGAACCGGCACCTCCCATGCTGAGGTCGCGGCCCAGTGGGAAGCCACGGATCAGTCAGCAGAGAAGTAGCGAAGGTCGAGCAGGGGGAGGCAGAGTGGGGGATGGGAAAGCGTGTCTAGCTGGTTTCTGTCTGATACTCTGTCTCCTGCTGGGAGCTCCGTGAATCTGCTTTCCTGCATTCCCTGTCTGCTGACCTCTGACAGGAGTCCGAGATGGAGGATCTGTGCTGTGTCAGCTGATAGGGGACCTCTGCCGGTAACTCTCTTCACTCTCTGTTCTCTGTCAGTTTCTTATTCCATTTGGTGCTTGGTTGAGTTCTTTATCTCTTTATTTGACATTTAGGGTTCCAGGATTGACATTTGTCTCTGTTTTACTTAGTTTTTAAGGTCTTTGCTGTGGAGGGAAGGCGTGGTGCTTCTGTCTATAGCACCATGTTGGCTCTGCCTCCTGCACATCTCTTTTGAACGTGCTGCCACCTTCAGACAGTCAGCTGTCCTCAGGCTAGCCTTTTTCTCCCAGGAGTGCCTGGCTGCCTGCCGTGGTTGACTCATTCCAAGGCCACTTCCAATGCCACAACCCAATTTTCACAGGAGCAGATGCAGCCCTGCTGATGCCTTTAGGATTAGAGTAAAGGACCTCTCCAACTTCCCAGGTTCCCTCCCTAGCCCATTGGGGTTCAACTCAAGAACACCTGCTAACTAGAATACCAAGGAAGACTGCCTGTCATGGTGACTCTTCCCTGAATTCCAAGCCCCTTACCTATAACAGTTTGGCTGCAGATAAAGAAAAAATTTAAAGGTATCTAAACTTTTATTCTCAGTTAGCATTTTTTTTTTTTTTTGGCAGTATTCTCAAATCACAGTTTTTAAGTACCTGGTAGTGAGAAATGCTGGTAGCCTTACAAATATAAGTCAATTCCTTTTTAAAAATGAGTCCACCTCCCTCCAATCCTTTATCATTTCATCCCTGTCCTATTACTAGAATGTCTCACCTGGCCTACATTAGACCTTAGACACCTTTCTTCCTGAAATGTGGCTTCATTCATCTCCTTCTTGGATAAAAATGCTTTCAAGTTGCCCTTGTTTCCAAACCCATCAAGCTCAAATGGTAAGTTTATCTTTTTTGTTCCTCAAAAGGAAAAAATATAAAGTAATGCACATTCATTGCAAACAAACAAAATCAGGCACTATGTAAAGATGCAAACGAGAGCGTGGTAGTCCCCTATGATCTCACCACCCAGATGTAAATGTGGTTATTAATCAGGCTAGTTTTTAGAGCTTTCAAAATCCCACATGTCCATTCCTCAAAGAGTTAAATAGAATTAGCATATGACTCAGCAATTCCACTCCTAGGTATATACCCAAAAGAATTGAAAGCAGGAACACCAACAGACACCTATACACCAATGTTCATTGCAGAACTTTTCACAATAGCCAAAACGTGTGTCCATCAACAGATGGATGTATAAATGTGTGATTATCCATACAATGGAATATTATCCAGCCATAAAGAGAAATAAAATTATGACACATCCTACAACTTGAATGAATCTTGAAAATATTATGCTAAGTGAAATAAGTCAGACACAAAAGGATAAATATTGGATGCTCCCACTTATATGAAATATCTAGAACAGGCAAATGCATAGAGACTGAAGTTGATTAGTGTTTACCAGGGATGGGTGGGAGGGGGAGACGGGTAGGTATTGCTTAAGGAATATGAATTTCTGTTAAGTGTGATGAAAAATTTTGGAAAAGGATAATGGTGATGGTTGCACAACATGGTGAATGTAATTAATGTCACTGAATTGTACATACAAAAATGGTTGAAATGGCAAATGTTTTGTTATATACATTTTACTACACACAAACACACACAAATCCCACATGTCCAACCTTACTTCCCACTTCGTCACCTCTGGTCAGTCCCTCAAGCTCTACAACTTAGTATTCATTCCTACTTCTATGGCTTTGTTCATGATATTCAATTATGTGTAATTGCTCCATCTTAACCTCTACCCATCCAACTCATCCCTAATTCCAGATATCCAGTTCAAGTCCTGCCTGCTCCATGAAGACCCCAGATTCTACCAATATACAGAATGTATACTGTGTGCCACACAATTCAACTATATAACTATCTTCTCTCGATGCTACAATATCTCCGCGCCCCCCACTCCCCCCGGCCCATACACTGTCAGGGAACTGGGATTATGCCGTATGCTTTTCTGGAGCCAAGTGAGGTTCCTAATACATGGTGGACAGTCAGTAAATGTCTGTCTACTAAATAAATATGATTACATAGATGGTTAATTGAGTGGCTTCTTTTTTAGTTTAGTGAAAGTTCTCACTCGATTCTTTTAAAGACTGAATCTAATTTTTTATAGGTTCTAGGCCTATCCAATGGAAACCCTGGTGGCGTAGTGGTTAAGTGGTACGGCTGCTAACCAAAAGGTCTTCAGTCTGAATCCACCAGGCACTCCTTGGAAACTCTATGGGGCAGTCCTACCCTGTCCTATAGAGTTGCTATGAGTTGGAATCAACTTGATGGCAATGGGTTTGGTTTTGGTTTAGGCCTATCCAAAAACAAAACCCTTTGCCATTGAGTTGATTCTAACTCATGGTGAACCCATGTGTTACAGAGTAGAACTATACTCCATAGAATTATCTGTAATCTTAAAGGAAGCAGATCACCAGGGCTTTGTCTGTGGCCTGGGTAAGTTTGTTTAGTAGTTGAGCACAAACTGTTTGTGCCACCCATCCAGGGACCTTCTAGGCCTATAGGCCAGTGATGATTTACATGGACCCCCTGAAAACGTTTTTAAATTTTCTCCCTCAAACAACCACATCTATTCCCAGAGTGCCTGTGTAGTTAAGGTGCCAGTGAAAACAGGGATCTTTCCCAAGAGCGCTCTTTGTTTCCATCAGGTTTACACAATCCATGATGCTAACCCCATAAATCAGTGACCAAATTACCTGTTGTTGCTAAAGTGCCCAGGTGATGAATGTCCTTCTGCACCTTCTTGGTGCAGAATATTTTGACTGATTTAAGAAAGGTTCGGATTCAGTCAAGGGCTGTGAAAAGCTCCCTGGCACTGAAGCCTAATGTCCGAGGACTGTGAACAAGAGCCCACGTTATAAAGAAAAGCTACCCGCAGCAGCAGGGGTGGAGGCATGCTTGCTGCCTCTTAGTCGTCGTCTCTTTTCTGACCAAAAGGTATTTGTGTAGAATTTGCAAATGTCTAACCAATTGTTGGGCATTTATGCTCACCTCTCATCACATTTAATCAGAATCACGCTGTCTGTTCCAATCCCCAAGGCTGCAGCTCCCTTCTTAAGCGAAAAATGACTCTGTAAAAAGCACATTTATAATTAGTTGCATATAAAGTCAAGATCCATTCTCTTGGCTGTTTTTCCCCCCTTTTCTCCTTTTATTTCTAAACAGTCACTCCAAAGCTTAAGTTGCTGAGAGAAGGTGGTATCCGTCACATGGGCTTCTTGGGGGGAAGATTACAAGGCACTGGGAATTGTAAAGGTGTCCCTGGGTGGTGCAAATGGCTAAGCACTCGGCTACTAACTGAAAGGTAGGCGGTTCAAATCCACCTGAGGTGCCTTGGAAAAAAGGCCTAGCAATCTTTCTGAAAAATCACAGCCATTGAAAACCCTATGGAGCACAGTTCTACTGTGATCCACAAGGGGTCGCCATGAGTTGGAATTGACTCAATGGCAACTGGGTTGGTTTTTGGTTTTTGGGAATTGTAAGTGGATCTGATATCCCCACACCACACACTAACTCCAAGCCAATTTTACATCTAAGACATAAGAACATTAACGACCTTCGGCATCTATGTATTGTATGTCTCTCAGGCCTACATTTTGCTACTGGGAGTTTATACTCAGTTCAGTGAAACTATACACTCAACTAAGAGAAGTTAGCCCTAAATCCAGCACCTTCATCCCAGAGTTGTTGGAGGGCTGATTTGTTGTGCAGATGACTATCAATCGGCAGAGAAACCCCTCACCAGGGTGGAGGAAGGTTCTGGAAGGAGGAGTCAGTCACCGATGGTGGCAAAACGGCTTGTCTGTGTGCGGAGATCAGGCCCTGCTGACAAGCCACCAGCAGGAGAGACTGAATCTTTGTTTGTGCTTTTGGTTATTGATTCAGGGTAGGATTTTGAATCTCAGTGGCTGTAATCAAGGTGCAATTTGGAGTGCTGAGAGAGGCTAACTAACCTAAGCCCAGCTGTACTGCATCTGCCCATCAGCCTCTTACTATTAACTACAGATCATTAAGTTGTCCATCAGGAGAGCAGCTTCCTCAATTTACATATCCAAAGGGTTGCTGACTGGAATTTTAAGCTATGATTCCAAAGAGTGTACCCTCTCTTCCAGTGCACAGTTTTGACTCATCTGAATTCTTAAATATGCAGCGGAGGTGCATATTTTGGGGGTGTGTCTAATAAACAAGAAGAAATCACATTAATAACAGCAGCAAATAAAGTAAACCAATAAACGAGGCACTGAATAGAGGAGTTTAAAAAGCCTGGTGTAACTTGAAGGAATGAGAAAAGGCTATTAGCTTCGTTTTACAACCTCAGAAAGACAGAATGGACAATCATGCCAAGATATCTGGGAACTAGGAGAGAAAGCTGAATTGGGTTAAGGTTTGAAAGATGCACAACTTACCCCACTAAGAAAGGAACAAACATAAACCTCTTCTCTCTTGCTTATTTAGCAGAGCCCTGGGCAACCTGGAAAGAAGGAACTCAGGCGAAAGAAAACAGCACTAAGTCTCTGATTGCCAGGAGGGCACAGAGCAGAGGAGCCAGCTGTCCCACTGAGCAAGCACAAGCTACTCCAATTACGCCCCTCAGTGAATGGGTCCTTAATTGCTAAACTGCAAAATGGAAAACTGGAGATAAGTAAGAGATCCAGGGCACCTGGTCAATGAGAGGAAGTATTCTTGTCTGGTCTTTAATGAGGAAAACAGGGATTCTCAAATGAGGAGCAATTTCCCGAGATAATTGATCACTGTACCAAATGCCACAAATGTAAAGAAAAATACATGCCTGGATAGGAAGTTTAAGGATGGGGAACAGAGGTTATATAAAGCATGAAAAAGAAGATTAGGTACCGAATACCGAGTCTGTTGATATTTTCAGGAAAGGGAGCAGAGAAATAGCTAAATGTTATCCACAAATAGCATGGGACTCATGGAGAAGAAGGAACTTGAGAGGGAAAAAAAAGACACTACCTAATGAGGAAGAAACAGTGAAGACAGCTTAATTGGTGCTGGTGAGACAACATGTGGAGGATCATTTTTAATCCTTAGCACCATGCTTAATAGAACCACTTGATGAACCAGAGAAAGCAGCCTCCAAAGAACAGCCTCCTGAATGCCAAGGAAACTGGAAACTCTATCTAGGAAAAAAAACTCAGGGGGCAGTTGTGGTTTAGTGGTAGAAATCTAGCCTTCCACACAAGAGACCTGAGTTTGAATCCTGGTGAACGCACCTCATGCACAGCCACCACCTGTCGGTGGAGGCTTGTGTGTTGCTATGATGCTGAACGGGTTTCAATGGAGCCTCCAGACTAAGACAGACTAGAAAGAAAGGTCTGGCAATCTACTTCCAAAAATAAACCAATGAAAACCCTATGGATCACAATGGCTTGATTTGCAATGATCATGGTGATGGCACAGAATCAGGCAGTATTTCGTTCCGTTGTGCACGGGGTCACCATGAGTCGGGGTTGCTGGCTCAAAGGCAGTTAACAACAACAGAGAAAACGTAGAGGATGCTTGGTCATGAACAGAAGGCATTAGAGGCATGTGGTATGGGTGGCCCACATATCTGAAGGCAGGAGGCAGGTGGGTAGGTGGTGGAGAGACTGACCTGGGTGACTTCACAAGGCAAAACTATGAACAAAAATTGGAAGTTTCAAGGATTCAGATTTGTCTCCAAATAATAAAGACTCTTCTAATAATCAGGTGTCCATTAATAGAATGGCTGGGGAATGAGCTAACGGGCACCACCACCCCCTTCCTCACCCTGATTTGGGAAGGAAAAAAAAGGCCCCTGATAGAATCTAATGCTTACTGATGACTACTAAATCATATCTATTTAAGGGTTGTTCTTGTCTTATACAATAAGAGTTGATTGAGTTGATTCTGACTCATGGCAACCCCATGTGTTACAAGGTAGAACTGAGCTCCAGAGGGTTTTCTCGGCTGTAATCTTTATGGAATCAGATTGCCAGTCCTTCTTTTCTGTGGTGCCACTGGATGGGATTGAACTGCCAACCTTTTTCTGCCACCCACTTACCTTCTATTTAAGGGTAGTAGATACTAAAAAAAAAAAAAAAAAAAAAAAAAAAGGAGCCCTGGTGGTGCAATAGTTAAGCTTTTGGCTGCTAACGAAAAGGTCAGTGGTTTGAACCCACAAGCCACTCTGTAGGAGAAAGATGTGACAGTCTGCTTCTGTAAAAATTTACCACCTTGGAAACTCTCTGGGGTAGTTCTACTCTGTCCTATAGATGGAATTGACTTAACGTCAACAGGTCTAGAAACTAAAACTCATATGATTTTCATTCTATATTAAATAAAAAAATCAAGGTTGATGGAAGATCAATGTTTCTATCACTTAAAAAAATGTCATAGGCGATCTAGACACTGGCCACATGATTTGGCTTACATTTAGAATATGTGCCAATAAGTACAAGGTATTATAAGTTATAAAATAATTGTAAATAAAAAAAAAGAAGCACTTCTGGGTTTGGGTGGGACGAGATTGTCAGAGTAAGAAGGAATGGAGAGTTCCGGCAAGATGGCACTCTAGGCCGTCCCTCCACAGCAAAGATCCGAAAAACTAACCCAAACAGAGAATGCAACAATCCTGAAACCCTAGAACGTCAAATGAAGAGATAAAGAACTCAGCCGAGCGCCAAATGGAGTGAGAATACTGACAGAGAACGGAGAGCGAGGAGAGATTCATGCAGAGGTCTCCTACCAGCTAACACAGCGCAGACCCACCATCTTGGAATCCTATTGGAGACCAGCAAACGGGGGTACGAGAAAGCAGCCTCACGGAGCGTCCAGCAGGAGACAAAACAACCGGTAATTTGCAGTGTGCGCTTTCCCAGCCCCCACCCCTCTTCACCCCGGCTCGGCCTCCTCTGCTTCCCG